ATTGAGCCCATGTCCCCGCTTAGAGAGGAGGACATAAAACTGAAATATTTCCGCGGCCAATCTTTGGTCAAGCCTGAGGAGATCAAAAACCTCCCAACGAGAATGTATGAATTGCATGATTAGTACATGAAAAATATCAAGAGTTCCAATTGAGAGTCCCTCGTGGTGAAAGTCAAGGAAGAGCATTACTTCCATAAGCTAGCCCTGACCATTGAGTATTCAGAACTATGGCAATTATACAATCAAGAAGCATTTGACAAAGCTCTCGTCAGTTGCTATTGTCTCTAAGTAATTTCTCTTTCTGTAATTTAAGTCTCAAGCTAGCTGTAGTGCTCATTGATTGATCATTACCTGTAATTATCCTTACTATATTCTTTTTTGTGGTATTATGCAGGATGAAGATGTATGAAATGAAAAAAGCGGGACGCTATGGTATTGGGTTCATTGACCCAAATACCGTTAATGAAGATACATGGACATTTCCATGGTATAAAAACGATGTGGAGAAAAACATGGTAGAGTTCTTGAAGCGCCTCAATACCAATGAAGATATACTACTTCCTTAAAAACGATGAGTCACACTGTTTTATACTACAATTTCTGTTTTTGCTTACTAGCTAGCTAGATGTTAAAAAACATGCCCGCTTAATTAAGACATGCAAATATGTGTGCATGAAGTTATCATTGGGTCTTGTTAATCATTAAAGTTGACGAAGGAACAGTTGAACTACTGGACTCACTACTCAAAAAACAAAGTGACTACTCAATCTTGAAGGGGATAGTCGACATGTAATTTTAATCATTATTAACTATATGTCGGCCTCTTTAGTTTGTCATTTCCTTATATCAACCATTTAATAACTCGTTTATTCATTTTCTTTGCCGGCAGGCAGGGCTTGGGCAAAGTTCAGGAAAGAAGCTCCAGGTCCATGGAAAGAAAAACTGTATTGGTTTCGACCCAAGGTATAATTAATTAAGTAGTACTAGCTAGCTACCATCTCTTTAATTCTAGTTTCAATGCCATTAATTATACATCATGCTTGATTAATTATTATCTGATTAAATTCTATTCTCGTAAAGGCCTTGAAGCAGGCGCAGGGGACTGAAGTGTGTGCATACTACATTTGCGAGAACATTCGCATGATGGTGTCCGAAAGGACCAAATCTGATAGACAACTATGGGTACGTTTGCCAGAACACTATTCACAATTTTTACATCATTATCGATATCTAGTCACAGAACGTGCATATTGATCTTCTTCTTAACAGTTCAGTGAGGTGCGGGAGACGCTCCTACCAAAGGAGCGCATACGAGCACTTCAAGAGGAAATAGTGCGATTTTTGCTCGACCAGGTCATAGATCCCAACGGAGAGTACTATTACCCGCTACCGCCCCCATGAACCACTCCCAATTGTCATCGTGCTCCGAAGGCACCAAGACAAATGTCATTTGCTCTGAAGACAACATGTAGGAGAAATTGTATATATACCTAATTGTATATATATATATATATATATATATATATATATATATATATGTATGTGTGTGAATAATGGTGGTTGTGAGACATTCTATTATATATATATATACACACACACACACACATATATATATATGATCGGTTCTACGAGAAATTCTATTTATATATATGTATAACGTGTACAATATGTAGTATCGTAAAGTACCAGCAAACGAAAAAGAATTAAATGGAAAACATAAAAATTAAAGGGAAAATAAATAATAAACCCACCCCCAAACCTTTTGGTACCAGTTGGTGTTACCAACCGGTACTAAAGGGCTCCCCGCCCCCGGCGCTGGCACGTGCCATGTAGTGTCCCTTTAGCAGCGGTTCGTGTAGAACCAGTACTAAAGGGGGGGTCTTTAGTCCCCACACTTTAGTGCCGGTTACAGAACCGACACTAAAGGGTCTTACGAACCGGTGCTATAACCCGGTTCTGCATTAGTGCTTTAGTATAGTATAGAAAACACGTTTTTCGTTAGTTTTGTTTATGCAATGCAACTAAAATGGAAAGATAGTCTATTATGATGTAATGTCATTTTATTTTCAGCTACTATTATTTAATAAAAAATAAATACTTCATATCACATTATTGATAAATTATTGAACAAGGAAAGTAGTGAGATTGATGATTTGATGGTACAAATCAAGTGTGCAACCGTATCTATATTTACCTAGTAATAAATATAGGTATTCTTAGTCCATTTTGCTATTTTATAGAAAATCCCTAATATTTCTGACATTAAATCCGGAGTACATATCAAATGTTTTTTAAAATACTCATATCTTCTAAACCGTAGCTCCAAATTTAACATGTTATATATGAAATTTGATTAGAAAAATATGTAGAATCTAAATATGATATTATTTTACCTATTAAAAAAATACTATTTAGGCTGCAATGTTAATCAACAATGCATTATCCATTTTTTCATATCGGTACTGATTCAGTTTGGGGATGAACACCTCAGCAAAATCAGGAATGGACATGATTGAAGATTAATTTGTTAGAGACACCCAATAAATAAGGACATGCATGAAAAGAAATAAAAAAGGACCCAGTAAAGATGGGATGTCCGCTATATAAGAAATAAACGAGAAAATGCAGAGTAGATCCGATAAAGATGAGATGTTGCGCTATTCTCCTATATATAAGAGGAAAAAAGAGAGAACATGCATGAAAAAAAGTAAAAAGGAGGCATGCATGACAAAAAAATAAAATAAAAGAAAAGTTTAATAAGATATAAATAGTGATGAAAAAGGGACTAATACCTATGACATGTATGGCAAGAAATAGTGATGAAATAGGGGCACAAGTACCTGCGTCCATAGGATACCATACAAAAATGTTCTTTTCCAGACAAAAAAAACATATATCCTTTTATGATTAAAAAATCCTATATCTTTTTAACAACTCTTCATGTATTTAAGAAATAGGCATGTGAAAAAAGTGTTCAATAGTTACTCTAAGTTGGTGATTCTTAAGCTGAAAACTACCATTGATGCACACATGTCTCTGTAGTGTGCTGATGTGTCGTCATTTGTTTTGTCGTTTTTCTTTACTCGCCCGTAACAACACCCCATTCCCACATGACATGAATAAATGCATGATCACTTGCCCGTTTTTTTTGTACGTACTAAATCTATATGCAAGCCGTGTTGAAATAGAACACTTGTAGAATCTTAAACTATGCTTTTATAGGTTAAGACCATCTTTGTTTGGCCGTAGCTACAATTCTTCAGATAATAGACCATTTTTTGTAAATTAAGAGCGTGTGGTATTTTTTCTCTCCCGTTGCAACGCATGGTCCTTTTTGCTAGTGTTTAGAAGAAACATAATTAGACATGTTTCACGATACCAAATCAGGTGTTAACTTTCTTCTGGCAGTACTACTAATTAAAATTAACATAAAAACGTCCAATGTATCATGGTTAAACCCCGAACATTGGGGATTTATCATTGGGAATTGTTTATTTTCAACCGGATGAAAACTCTCTCTCGTAAACCTCTCTCTCCGCTCACCACGTGTCGTCGCGGGGCCGTGCCACCCCTCCCACCTTATCGTCTCCCTCCGCCTTATCGTCTCCGCCCACCAGTTCCTTTCTTTCCCCCTTTTCTTGTTCAGCTCTAGAGGATAGGCACCACCGCCGCCTCCCGCCTTGGATGCCACATGTCGCGTCCCGCCATGGCTACCACATGCTACGTCGCTGATCTGCGTTGCAATGGAGCGCACTGGTGGCTGCAACAAGCGCATCCGGCTGCAAATGGAGCCCCCGCCGCGGCTGCAATGGAGCGCGCGCGGTGGTTGCAATGGAGCCCGCCGCGGCTGCAATGGAGCGCGCTGGTGGCTGCAATGGTCGCGTCCGGCTGCAATGGAGCCCCGTCGTGGCTGCAATGGAGCCCGGTCTCGCTGCAATGGAGTGCGGCTCGAGCTGCAATGGAGGTTCGCTGGAACGCCGCGCGCCGGTGGATGCAATGGAGCGCAGCTGGGGCTGTAATGGAGCTCCGCCGTTGTTGCAATGAAGAGCAGTCGGGGCTGCAATGGAGCTCCGTCGCGGCTACAATGGAGAGCGGCAGGGGCTGCACGGAGATTTGTCGGGTAGCCGACGGTGCTGCATGGAGCTTTTCTTCGCGCCGCGGTGCTGCCATGGAGCTACAGTGGAGTTTCCACGGGCGTCGTCGGTGTTGAGTTGAAACTTGTTTTTCCATCAGCTCCGGTGCTGCCGTGTTGGAGATCTGCCAGCGGCTCCGGTGCTACTGCGTTGGAGCTCCGACGGTGGCTCCGGTGCTATCATGTCGCCGGTGCAGGCGCCACGGTGAGGTGGGATTGACGGCGAGCAGCATAACCGCGGAGGAGGCGTGGTCGGATTGAGGGCGGGCGGTTGCGTGCGACTTTTGCGTTGACCCAATCTAACGGCGACGCGTCGGGCAATCTGACGGCTGACGAGGCGGCTTATATTTGCTTATTATCATCCGGTTGATTTATAGCACTGACCTTTATCATTTGGACTACCTAAAGAGCCCGATCCGTTGCCGCAAGAAAAGAGAAATCAGTTGATCGGTGTATTCAACGTAGACATGGCGTGGATGCAAAAGCAATAAATCGGCATCGCTTTCTTTCCTGCCTGCCTGTCACGCTCGACGAACCTTAGCATGGGAACTCCATGGATTAATCGAGGCTGGGTTCACACATGACGTGACACACACACAACACACCGGGTGTTCCTTCCTGAGCACAATCCGGTGAGGCTGTTCCTTCCGGAGCACAATTCCCCGCTGACCCGGTCAGCCCTTCCTTCCACCCTTGCAGCTGCAGTGCAGTTCCTTCCCGCCCTTTCCTCTCCCCATGACCGACATAACCCCACACAACCCAACGCCCCCAAACCCCGGCCCGACTTTAAAATTCACCCACCCCACCCCACCCCACCTCTCGCCCTTCCTCCGTTTCCGCACCGCCGCCGCCGCCGCCGCCCCGCGCGATGCCTCGCCGAAACGGGAATGCATCTGGTAAGTCGCCTCCTTACGCTGAACCACTCGAATCCCACCCCTCAAGCCCTGACTCCCCGTCTCCCATCGCAGGCTCCGGCAGCAGTCGTCGCCGCCGGCGCGACGACGACGACGACGAGAGCGTCCCCTCCGATAACACCTCCGACTCCGACTTCGTCGCTGATATGGAGGACGAGGTGGCGGACGACGACGAGGAGTTTGCCTCCGATGAAGATGCCCCTGCGCCCGCGGTGGTGATCGAGGTGGTGGCGCCGCGTCCGGTGCTGTCGCCACGGCCGCCCAAGTCCAAGTGGAGGCGGAAGAAGAAGAAGGGGAAGCGCGACGAGGACGGCCCGCCCCTGCCGTGGGAAGAGTGGGAGGAGGCTAATACCAAGTGGCTCGACGAGCGCGCCGGGGCAGTGGAGGAGACGGACGCCCCGACCGCTGGGGTGGTGCCGACCGCGGAGCCGGCCCCGGAGGTGCTGCTCCAGCTGCTGCGCTTCCAGAAGGAGTGGCTCGCGTGGGCGCTGGCGCAGGAGGCCTCGGTTTCGCGCGGCGGCATCCTCGCCGACGAGATGGGGATGGGGAAGACCATCCAGGGTATCGCGCTCGTCCTCACCGCGCGCCGGCTCCGTCCCCCCGGCTCGCCCCCGCCCTCGCCACCGTCCCCGTCACTGGGCCTCCCGATGCGCCGGGTAGGGTGCACCCTTGTGATCTGCCCCGTGGTGGCCGTCATCCAGTGGGCGCAGGAGATCGAGCGCCACACGGCCAAAGGCAGCGCGCGCGTGCTGCTCTACCATGGCGCTCGGCGGGGCTCTCAGAAGTATGATTTCGACACCTTCGACTTCGTGGTCACCACCTACTCCACCATTGAGGCGGACTACCGGAAGCACATAATGCCACCCAAGATTCGGTGTGAGTACTGCAATAAACAGTTTTACCCCGAGAAGCTGAAGATTCACTTGAGATATTACTGTGGGCCCGATGCTCTTCGTACTGAGAAGCAGGCGAAGCAGAAGAGCAAGAAGTGGTCTGACACCAAAGTGAAGGGGAAAGGGAAGGGGAAAGGGAAGAGGAAAAATGGTATTGAGGAGGAGGAGGAGGAGGATTTTGAGGAATTGGGTAGCAAATCCAGGGGCAAGTCACCTCTACACTCAGTGCGATGGGAGCGGATTATCTTAGATGAGGTGATCATATGCCCTTTCTTGCCGCATTTTTTTTATTCAGCAATATAATAAACTGCATACTTACTTACTTACTTACGAAGCCTTTTATCCCAAAAAAGTTGGGGTAGGCTAGATATGAAACCTTTTCACGAGGACTTCCCAGGAGGTCACACATCCTAGTACTACTCTCGCCCAAATGGGTTTCATACCCAAAAGACTGGCTAGTTTTTATGTTGGCTCGCCAAGCCTATCACCACCCTTAGATATGAAACCCTTTCACGAGGACTTCCCAAGAGGTCACCTATCCTAGTACTACTCTCGCTTAGATGGGTTTCATACCTATGGGACTGGCTAGTTTTTACGTTGGCTCGCCAAGCCTATCACAACCCTCCTCCTTTACCCGGGTTTGGGACCGGCTATGCCTAGAAGACATAGGTGGAGTTAATATAATAAACTGCATATAGATATGAATTCTCACGAAGTAATCGATTTTTCGAATGGAACACTTGGTCGTGGTCCATGCTGCCAATCTGCATAAACTGCATATATAGATATGAATCCTCAGGAAGTAATCGATTTTTAAAATGGAACACTTAGTCGTGGTCCATGCCGCCAATCTGCCATGTATTACTTCTTAGGCTGTAGCCCTGTTTTCTTAGACTAAGCATGATTTCGGACTGTAGTTTTCAAACATGGCAAATTCATATCCTAAGCAAGAAAGGATCACATTGTTTGACTCATCGAATGGACTAAGAGTATTAGATTTGTTAGCTAGGTGCACTCTGTATGTTTGGATGAAGAACATTAAGTTGATTTTGTACTATCTGATTTGGGGGACTTTTTAAAATTGTAGCCTCCATGTGAACATGTTACTGTATCCTTTGGCAATGCATAACATGATATAACATATTATTTCTACAGCATTTCCACGTTCTACTGTCATAGGTGATATACTAGAAGTTCTAATAGCTTCATCATTATTATGATAAGAGCTCTTGTTATAGTATTTCGACCAATAATCTGTTCCTGTACATCTGGTTGTTCTTTGTTGTAATGTTTTGGTGATGACACTTGCAAGAATCAGAACTCTACTATTTGGTTTCTATGATATATTTGTAAAAATTAACATAATGTATGATAGGTTTACTTGCTGTATTGCATTGTAGTGCATTAAGTTGCACACAAGTGTTTTTCTGCTAATCTAAATCTATTTATTAATAGTCGGCACACCATGTTGACATCATGAAGCATGAAAGCTGAATGAGCAGTTATGCAAAATCCACAAAGTTTATAGCTCTGGATTTAATACCAAGGTCCTCTTTCCCTGGCAAGCTCATTCTGGTGTTACTGAATGCTCCTTTTCTGTTGGTGTTTTTCAACATGATGATGTTGGCCAGCAGCCTCGTTTCATGTCTAAAAGGAAGCTTGTCCACAAGTACTTGTCCCATTTCAAAACATATTACTTTCTGTACGCATGTTTCAGTAGATAATAGAGATACATATTAGGTTTTATCAAGTGGACAGTTTCTAGGTTTGTTGCTATCGGCTTAGTGTTTTCTGTTCATCATTACACCGTTTTCTGAAATTTCAAGCATTGAGACCAATTTATGTACTTGAGACACACAGCTGTGTTCTCACTACACAGTGATTTCTTTGTCTTTTTTGATGAGTATCTTCAATCTTATAATATTTTCCTGAAGTTCAATTCAACAATGATTGACCTGTTTCTTTTTAAAGTTGATTCATTCCCTCCATGTTCTTTTCTGCAGGCTCACTTCATAAAAGATAGACGATGCAATACTGCAAGGGCAGTTTTTGCATTGGAATCGGAATACAAGTGGGCTCTGAGTGGGACACCATTGCAAAATCGTGTTGGAGAACTTTACTCACTGGTTTGCAACTAACATTTGAAGATCCTGACCAATTTTATTTTACCTCCTCTATTCTTACTGTTGTTTTCTCAGATTCGCTTCTTGCAAATCTTTCCATACTCGAAGTACTTCTGCAAGGACTGTGACTGTCAGATACTAGATACCAAGTAAGATCTGCCTCTACTAGTAATATCTGATGATGGAACAACTAATTTCTTATTAATAAGTGTAAATTTAGTTAAAAAAAATATATTCATTTGTCAACTCTATCATGTAACCGCAGTCCAGTTTTGGAAGGATATTATTGTTTGAAACAGTTATGATCTATAGGGCCATCGGTCAACCACACAGCAGTCCAGTTACGCTGATGGGCTCTAGTCATTTGGCTCCGTCCTATAAGGCCCACCAGTCAACCATACATACATCACAATACCATTTGATTTATTTTGTACCAATTGTGTGACCTACGGATGGGCTTATAACTGTTGCAAGATTCAAAATGTAATTCTGTAAAATGTTACCTGCTATAAAGAGGTGTAGTTTCTAAAATTTACTTTAGTATGATTCTAAACAAGGTTACTGTTGCAATGTTGTAGTTGTATCACACCAGGTTATGAGTTGCTGCTGTTCCCATCGTTATTTCTTCGTTTTAGTTATTGACCCCTAATCTCCTGCAGTATGAAGAAAAAATGCGACTGTGGTCACTCATCCGTCAGGCACTTTTGCTGGTGGAATAAGGTCAGTTACAGGGTTCTATATGTCCCTGATTTTGACATATTTTTTATTTGTGACATTATCTTTGCTAACACAAAGTCATTTTTTAACAGTACATAGCGACACCAATACTGTATGGATCCGCGAGTTTTGAGGGCAGAAGAGCCATGACTCTTCTCAAGGAGAAGGTCTTGAAGGGCATAGTGTTAAGGCGGACAAAAATAGGCCGAGCTGCAGATCTTGCTCTTCCACCGAAGACTGTAAGTCAGCACAACACGTTATATACACAATGAATGTAATGCCTCCTCGTCTATAGTTGTACCAGTTGCAAGAAGTTAAACTTTTAACATGTTAGGTGACATTGAGGCGGGACTCTTTTGATAGAAATGAAATGGAATTTTATGAAGCCTTATATACTCAAAGCTGCACGCAGTTTGATTCGTGAGTCTTCCTTTCCTTCCTACTTATGTAGTGATACCATATGGATTATTCAGTAGACATTGTGTGATTATTATGCTGCTTCTGCAAAAGTTGAAAATCCAGTTTCATCTGAACAAGAATCTTCTTTACTAGCTTCAAACAGCTCTGATTTGCAATACATCGTAACAAAGTGCCATTGTTAGGTTAGAGCTCATCCATTTGTTTTGTCTCTGGATTTAATTAAACACCAATTTCTCTGGACTGGAGTTGTACTTACAACAGATGCAAGGTGCATTGCAAAGAGATTCTGCTCGTAATTTCATGGTTACATCCAATACTCGATGTAGCAGGTTTTCTTTTTGTAATCACTGGATGCCATTGTAAAGTAGCTTATGTATGCAAACGCTCCTTTATATTTCCTATTTTGAGTTTTTTTAGTTTTTTCAGATAGTTAACGCTGTTTTCTCCAGGTATGTTGTTGCTGGAACGTTGCTGAACAACTATGCCCATATCTTTGACCTCCTCACAAGGTTGAGACAGGTGTGCACATAATTCCTTGGATATCCTTAGAATTCCTTATGGGTGCAACAAGCTAGTTTAATCGCCTATAGTCTATGCTATTATGCCATTTCCCCCTCTATAGAATTGCACTCCTAATTATTTCTCTTTGTTGAAGTAACATGTTGACTGTTCCATCCAAATTGTAGGCTGTCGATCATCCATACCTTGTTGCATTTTCCAAGACAGCAGAATCTCAGGAAGGATGCAAAAATCAACAAAATGGTGCCATGGAAAGCCAGTGTGGAATATGTCATGAATTGGCAGAAGATGTGGTGGTTAGTAGGTTGCCCCTGCAAAGTTACTTAAGCTCATGCATTGTTTTCCACTGGTTATAAGCTGACTTTCACATATGAACTTTCCTTTCAAGGTTACATCTTGCGATCATGTATTCTGCAAGACTTGTTTGATGGAGTACTCTGCAACTTTGGGGAATGTTTCATGCCCATCTTGTTCAAAGCCTCTTACTGTTGACTTAACAACAGAAAACTCGAGACGAAAGGTCCCTGCAAATTTGAAGGGTGGCAAACGCTCAGGAATACTAGCCAGACTACAAAGCCTAGCAGATTTCAAGACAAGTACGAAAATTGATGCATTGGTAAGTTGGCCAACTTGTCAGCATATTTTTGTTGTTTGCAGCCAATCTGCAGGGGAGTGAATTTTCTGTCAACAAACTCTTATGCATAGTGATAACATTGGAAGTTCTAGAAACTGTTTGTGCCTTAAGTATCTTGGCAAGAGCTGGTGGTAACCAGCTGTTTATTATTATTATCCAAATATTTGATTATTAGGTGGATATTTTATATGGGCTAAACTAATTCATCTCTATGAAGATAAGACACACCATTTGAAGGTATGTGAGTCAATAGTAAACAAGTATCCTGCAATTACCTAATCTGTTCTCTCATTGGCTTAATATATTCCATGACATCACTGGGGACACCCCTGGCATGAAACTAACCTTGATCAAATTATAAGTCTTTTGGTATAGAGAGGTTTCCGGAGAGCGATTAAATGGTTCTGTTAAGTCTAGTGTAATTATGGTTCTTTTAGGCCAGCACTGGGCACAATAAGATCTATCTTACTATTACTTCAAGAATGGACCATGATTGAGCAAAGAGAAGAAACAATATTGACATTTTTTAATGCAGAGAGAAGAAATAAGAAACATGATTGAGCATGATGGTTCTGCAAAAGGGATTGTTTTCAGCCAGTTCACATCGTTCTTGGATTTGATTGAATTCTCCCTGCAGAGGGTAAAGTATTGATAAACTCACTGAACTCAATACTGATATTTAGCATTGCATTGTTTATTGACAAATGGAATAATTTAATGGTTTAACAGTCTGGCATCAAGTGTGTGCAACTTAATGGGAAAATGAACATGGTGGAGAAGGGGAGAGCTATAGATACCTTCATAAATGACCCAGATTGCAGGATTTTCCTGATGAGCCTGAAAGCGGGAGGAGTAGCTCTTAATCTCACTGTAGCATCTCATGTAAGCCAGTGCATATCCTCCTTTATTTATGTCTAGTTAGACAGCAATAACCCATGTAGTTGCTCAGCGTTCAAAATAAGCAGAATGATCCAGTTGATGCTGCCTGCTTATATATGTATATTCCCTGGTGGATGATAGGTTTTCTTGATGGATCCTTGGTGGAATCCAGCAGTGGAGAGCCAAGCGCAGGATCGAATCCACCGAATCGGACAATTCAAGCCTATTAGGTAATTTGCTATGCTAGTTAAAATGGACACTGAATTTTACCGCCTCCTTTATCTGACTTGGCATATATGATTTGACTGACACAGAAGCACGAGGTTTGTGATCAAAGACACAGTTGAAGAGCGCATCCTACAACTGCAAGAGAAGAAGCAGCTTGTGTTCGATGGGTAAATCTCGTTTCTTCCTCAGCCATCCTTGGGTCGGGTGGATGGGAGGATGGTGGCTGATACATTCCTCCCGTCCTTTTTGCAGCACCGTGGGTGACTCGCCAGAGGCCATGTCGAAGCTTACAGAGGCTGACCTGAAGTTCCTGTTCCAGAACTAAGCTTGTCTTGTTTCCCGGATGATGTTCCGGAGCTAGCCATCCTCCCTGGTATTACCAGCGCCGCATACATCCATCGCAGCGCCCGCATATTGACTGTAGCATGCTGTTTACTTTTCTAGCCAGCCCTAGGGATCATGAGTTTTGGATGGCATATTCTGTAGTTTTGGACTTTTTTTTTAGAACGAAGGCTCAAGAATGAGCCCGACTTTGAATTAACAAAGCCATCAACCGGCCAGGATAACAAAGATTACAACCACGAACCACACAGAGAAAAGAAAAACGGCAAAAATACAAAGGCGCTGGGAGGCAGCTCACATAGCACACAAACCAACTAGATAACATGTAGCTAACAGCTAGGGGATGCTAGGGCCCTCTTGCACGCACACAACCAAAGGGAAGGCATCTGCAGGCTCAGTGCAAGGAGACGACGACGATGAGAGGCAAGCCATTGCCAGAACACTAGGGACTTGTGGGAAACACACCGAGACAAGTCCATCGTCAAAGAAGACCCCTGTCTCCTCGCCTGGCTCAAAAGGCGCCGCACCGTTGAGCGATGGAGTAGTTCACCCTAGAACCTGCCTGGATGGTACCCAGGGAAGCCACTGGAGCGGAACCAGGCGTTCCTGACATGTCGACGGCGACTCACCTAGAGCCAACCAGACCCAAAACTAGAGGCCGGGCGAGAAAGAGGGTAAGCTGCCAGGGTGAAATAGCAGCATGGGCCAAGAACAAAACTCAGAAGCTCCGGCTTCCTCGGCGAGCTGGTGAGGAAAACCACCGGCGGAGGGGAACCCTATCCTCTCCCTGCCTGGAAATCGCTTGCACACCAGCCGCACGAGGAGCACCATAGACACAGGACCCCGCTCCAGGAGGACACGCCGCTGGAGACTTGTTGTCGCCGCCGCCGCACACCAACCACACCACACCGAAGCCCATCGCCCCACTTGTTCCCAAAAACGGCGTCTTCAAGAAGATTACGGCGCCAAGGGCGTCGCCGCCGTCCAACACAGTTGTGGTTTTCACCCGGGAAGCAAGTGGGCATGGGATGGGGAGGACAAGACCTGGACGACGCCTCCAAGGAGGTGAGCGGCGCCCGCGGGCGTCGCCGCCGTCGCGCCGACAAAGCTGGCTAGGGTTTCCCCTGGTCCTGGACCCCAACATCCGCTCCCACTCACCAAAACCGGCTGTAGCAGGCCGGATCTGAGGGGGGAGGAGCCCGCTGGTGGAGAGTTGGGGAGGAGACGGCCAGATCTGACGCCACTGTAGTCGAAGCCGTCGCCGCGCCCCGATCTGCATCCTCCGGAGGTCTCGCCGTCCTCACGGCCAAGACCGCCGGCCCACGCCCGCGCCACCAGAAGCCGAGCTGGAGGTGCCACACCGGCCGGGGCCGCCGCCCCAGATCCCGCAGCCCCCCGCGGGCGAGGCGAGGCAGCGAGGGCCCCGTCGCCACCGTCATCAGCAGCACACCGGGCTTGCCCAGCGGCAGCCTCCGGTGGCGGCGAGGGGAGATCGAGGAGGGGGGAGGGGAGGCGGCGGGACTGGGTTTCGCCCTCGAGTCGCCCAAGCAGGGCGACGCGAGGGAGGGGAGGGAGGTTCGTAGTTTTGGACTTGGGAACAACATGGGTTCTATCCAGTTTACTTGTTTGGGAACGGCAAAAGCAAAACACGAGCGCTTGTCCATTGGGACCATGGGTCTGTGGATTGGACGGCCCTGCTTAACTAAGCTACCGACGAACAAAACGCACAAGATCAGCGGTCAGCGCGTAGTACCTTGCTTGTGATGGCAGAACTAGCATAGAGCGGCCCTATCGGGCAGTTGCACTTGCACTCTGCTCCTGCTCATGGAGTCATGGCTCTGCACGCACGCATATGCTAAGCCTGTGCTTTTGCCGTCGATCCCGAGGACAGGCTTGATGCCATTCTTTCCGTCTTCTCTGCCACCTGTGCCCTGTTTAACTCTAGCCGGGACTACACAGTCCCGTATCGTCAGTCTGTGTGGTTCTTCAAAAATTCTACTAATAACGACGGCCAAGACCATCCGTCAAGATTTGGGAATGGGAAGGCAGGCGGCCGCGGGTGTGAATTGCCGGGCCTAATCATTCATCGCCGTGATTGCTCGCGCCTGCTCTGCGTCTCTGCTGTCTGCCGATCTAGCTAGCAAAACAGCACCACGCGTGGGGACCAAACCAAGCGGCTGCACTGCCGACAGGCGCTCCCTACCGAGAAAACTGAAGGGAAACGCTTGTTGTCTATAGTCTGAAGAGACGCCAGCCTCAGACCACTCAAACGCCGTTGATTCGATCCAAATCTGACGCTCCAGATTTTGTTTCATATATGTGGAAAAAAGGAACAAAAATCTCTTCTGACTAACCGCCCGCAATCCCTGCGCCATGTACCACTCTCCGTAATCCCGCCCGATTCCATCGCCCCTCATCGCACGCACCTCCCCGAGCTCTTCCTCCACCTCGCTTGCCTCACCCGCAGCTCGCCTCACCGTCAACAGAACTGCTCCTCCTCTTCGATTACGCCGCCCACCACCTGCTCAGGCCCGTACCCCCTCAACTCCCCACTTCCTAGATCCGTTCCTCCACTCCTTTCTCCACCTTCCAATTCATAGATGCGTCCTTCACCAACGGGGTAAGCACTCTTGCCGGGAGGCTTACCGGCAGCGGCGGGAGATCAACGACGAGCCCTTCTGTCCTCGTCCGTCAATGCTACCATGGCTACAACACATGCTGCGTCTTCCTCGACGCGGTGGCCGTCACCGCCATAGTTGCCATGTTTCCGGTACGGTGGGAACGAGGAACGGGAACGGGGACGAGAGTCAGGGGCTGGAAAAAAAGGGTACAGTGGGGGTATACATCTCTAGAACGATTTTTCTAAAACGGAAACGTGATCCAATCAATTCCGGTACGATGAATCCGGTACGGTACCATGGAATGAGGAACGTGAATCTTTACGGGTGCGGGGAGCAACTGGCTAGGAGGGACCGAGGGAGTACTTATACAGGGAACTGGCTGCATCGTCGATTCATGAAGACTAAAATATATCATCTCCTTCCCAATGGAAAATTTATTAGCAGCCTTGGAGTAATTGGAGAGCAGAACAAGGAGCTATTTAGGGGAGTGGAAAAGAACGGGGCAGAAATTAAAGCGATGAGTTCTTGATTGATATGGCTGACCTTTTGCTTACTCGGTCGATTCAAGAACCAAGACTGTCGAGTCGCCGAACCTGAATCGACGATCCGGCTGCGGAAACGCCGAATCCGCATCGAATCTTACCGAATCGATCCTCGTTCCCGAATCTGATTCCGGGTCGATGAATCCGGATCGAGGGGCGGCCCACCGTTCCCCGTTTCCGGCTACTACGGTCACCGCCATCATTCGTGACTGTTTCCTGGGCAAGGGAAAACAGTTCATGAACATGACATAGTATTTCTATTACATGTAAAAAGTGCTTCCATCGCTTGAGATAATGCTTCACCTCCTATGGCAATCGCTTCCTAATTTCTTTCCTATGATGCTTCTTTAGTACTTTGCTAGTGCGTATTCCTATAATGCTTCCATAGTAATACTATGAAATTTTAGCAGTCACTGCAATGTGCTTCCTATTTTCTTCTGGTGCAAATTCCAATATCAATGTAAGCGGTGCTTGATGCATGATCTTTGTATGTAGGAAGCATGAACCAATGTCTCTTGCACAATGTCATGAGCAACAATAGAGGTGGCGACGTTCGCTTCGTTGTGGGCTTCTCTGTGGCCATCGACGGCCAACGTGTAGTTGAGGACAACGACAACAAGGTGGCTGTTAGGGGTAGCAGAGACAACGGCGAGGATGTCGCCCAACAACGGGGAAGAACACAATGAGGAGGCGTCTTAGTCATCTTCCTCAATTGACAGTCCTCTTCTGCAATGCCCCCAACAACATCATCTGCTTCCTCAACACCTTCATCGGGTTCACCCTCCAACAATGGCATCCCCCTCTCTCATCAGCAGCTATGCCCACAATGCTAATCGTGAATTAAAACAAAATTGATGTGCATATGTATTGCTTTACCCTTGAAGCATGCAATGAAAGTAAAGGAAGCATTATTAAAATTTTACTGTACATATAATTTGATTTTATGCTTCAACAACTACTAATATGGGCTTCAACCACCTAGTGTTGCTTCTACTAGTTTATGCTTCAACCACTACTAGTATGGGCTTCAACCACTACTAGTATGGGCTTCAACCACTATCAGTGTGTGCTTCCATCTTTCTCATCGAATGCTTCTGTTGTAGAGGCATTGCCACACCCAAATCTAGATGCGCTCTTTGTTGCATTGCAATGACGTTGAGTGGGCTACAAACTGAGACCTACCCGCTAAAAGTTGCATGTTTGTACAGAAAAACGGAGAGCTTGTGGTGCACGTGGATCTTGTCCATAATCAACTCGTAAACATGGCTATTTTAATTCTCTTTTATTTTGTTGTAAAATGAGTTGTAATTTTTTTATCATATCCAATTAGTTTGTTTTGAAGCTTAAACTTTGTTGCTATGCTTCAACGTGCTTTCTTGTCAAGCACATGTTTCCATTCACAAAAAATAAATTTCCTTTATACCAATAAATTGTTTCCGAAGCTTTTAAAAGATATAGCATAAATCAGATGCTTCCGTTGAATAACCCGTTTCTGCTGATCACAAAGTATGCTTTCATCGGTCAAAAGGAATGTTTTCATGGCAGAAAAGCTATGTCACTATCGAAGTAAAAACGCGTCTGAAAATAAATAAATATTTATCATAACTATTTAAGTGTATGTTTCCACTAGTTTAAAAAGAGAAGTCACATTACTGTGACATCAAACAAATTATTCTTGGAAGCAACAATTAGGAGAAACATATGACTTAAAATTATACCCCAGCAGCATCAAACATAAATATTTATCTGGTTTGAAAAGTCATATTGGAGTGACAAACAAATTATTCATGGAAGCAACTCTGGGAAGCAACAAGTAAAAG